ATGCAACAACTTGTAGGTTTCATTAAAACAGGTTAAGAGAATAATGTTTGTAAATTGAATAGATCAATCTATGGCCTAAAGCAGTCTTCTAGACAATGATACTTGAGATTTGACTGAATGTTTATCTCCTACAACATTGTCATGATGGATGAAGATGACTGTATTTATTTGAAAAGGTCCAATGAGAAATTTGTAATTTTATCTCTTTACGTAGATGATAACTTGTTGGCTGGGAATGATAAGAAGTATATTAAACTATTAAGAAATGGTTGTCTTCAAATTTTGAAATGAAGGACATGGGTGAAGCAGATTACATATTAGGTGTTAAAATCTATAGAGATCGTTCAAATAGGCTTCTTGCTCTGTCACAAGAGCCATATATAAAGAAAATTCTTTAACGTTTCAAAATGGAGAATTGCAATCCCATTGACACTCCTGTATCAAAAGACGAAACTCTAAGTCTTCGCATGTGTCCTAAAACTCTCGAGAAAAAGAAGAAACATCTAGAGTTCCATATTCCAGTGCGGTTGGGAGCTTGATGTATGCTATGATGTGTACTCATCCTGACATTTGTTATGCCGTAGGTCTGGTCAGCAGGTATCAATCCAATCCTGGAAGAGAACATTGGAAAGCTGTTAAAAGGATATTGAGATACCTGAAGGGTACTGCTAATTACTCACTATGCTATCAAGGAAATGATTTGTGCTTAAAAGGATACACAGATGCTGATTGGGGTGGAGACCTAGATGAGCGCAAATCAAATTCGAGATATGTATTCTTGCTTAATAATGGCACTATCTCTTGGAGTAGCAAGAAACATACATGTATTTCCTTGTCCACAATGGAAGCAGAATTCCTAGCATGTGCTTCGGTAGTACAAAAAGCTGTTTGGTTAAGGAGATTCTTATAGCATCTAAGAGTCGTTAGTGGTGATGTAGGACCTATATTGATCTACTGTGATAGTCAGGCTGCTATTGCATATACTAAGAATCCCAAGTATCACAGTAGAACCAAACACATTGGTACAAAATATAATTTTGTGAGAGACATCATAGGCAAGAAGGAAGTGAGTTTGCAGTGTATTTCTACGTACCAAATGGTAGCTGGCCTACTTACAAAATCTATCCCTAGAGATTTTTTTATGACACATGTTAAATCTCTGGGATTGCGTAGAATTTGAATTGTATACTATGTAAACTTTTTCATATATGTCCATTAATGAACAATGTTTTGAGTTCACATGTTAAGAGCAATCTTTTATTTTAATTTTTAGATTACCATTACATATGCACACATAAAGTATGTCAAACAGGTTAAGATTGGTTCACTCACATGAACAATCGCTTCAAACAGTTTGAGGTGTGCTGAGATGAGACACAGTGATCATATTGTGTACATGATCCAGTCGCCTTGATGTGATATGAAGATGAGATTACAACAAGTAATTGGTATGGATTTTTTTATCCATTAGACATGTTTTTACAGCTAGATCGAGTTCTCGATTTGAGATTACCTAGAGGAATAAATATGAGGAGAACTCAGATTAGACATTGAGAAATATCTGAACTATGATCTGTACGATGTATTTGATTTGCGAGATTTGACATACACCCAAATGAAGGGAGAAAATATCGTAACACGTATTTTATACCACGTGTGCTTTAATGACCAATGAGAAATGAAAGAATTGATCCCTGCTTTTTCATTGTGTGAGTCTCTGAGGCATATTTGACCTCACTTATATATACCCTTATGACTTTTGAATATTTCTCATAATTTTATTTCAGTGTTGCTACTTTAATATGTTGCCAATAATTATGGTTGATTCGGTTTGATGGGACATGTCTAGGAAAGCAGTTGATTTGAAATGAAGGGATTCAAGTAGGAAAAGAAGACTGTTTAACTAACACCTCAGCTTGTATTCACCGACTCGATAATTGTGTTGATTATTTAAGTTTCATGACACAATTGTGAATACAACATAAATGAGAAAGTTGAGTATGTTCTAAAATAAATTGAGGGGTCAGAAATACTCAAACTAGTGTTACAAAATATGTCTGGGGTATAGCGAGAAATATAATTCCTCTTTCTGAGCTGTTATATATCCCTTACAGGTGTATAGTGTTGTGTGCTCTTAAATTAATTCGCTGGTCGCACTATCCATTTACCTATATGAACTTGGAGATGTTGAGCTTAATATAATTGATATTATATTAGAATCAGGTCAAGCCCATCATGTGTGAGTAAGAGATGTTGGAAGAAAACGATCGTCCATGTGGGTTGACCTGACCCGACCCGATTTGCATGGAATTGAATTTTGGAGGGAGGGGTTGAAAGCTGAATTTGAAAGTTAACCTCTCCACCACCCATAACTCCAATTATCAACTTCCATTCTTCATTATTCAGAAAAGTAAAAAACAATAAGGATATTCAAAATTCAGGTTCTTTCAAGGTGTAAAAATTGGATGCGGGTGGAGGCTTGATTTTTGGGAAAATTACATCTCTAATTGGGTTCTTGGATTGTGCACAACAAACTTCTTCCTTGGTAATCGAGTTTTGACCAAGAAGCTGGTACAAAGCAGTGTTGGAGGCAAGCAATCAATAGGCAAGTAATTCAACCTCGTTTTTGGGATTTTCAAGTAAGTTTCACAACTTAAATTCGGTTAAAAGCATGAAAACATGTTTTACATAATGACATTTCGTAAAATTTTCCATTTAAAGTATTGAATTTTTTTAAAAAAAATTAAATTAAATGGCATGGGAGCGAGTGTTACCCAACCCGCCTCAGGACGAAATTTCCCTTCCTGAATAGCTGAATAAGAGGGTAATGCCCACCCAATTTGGAGCGGGGTCCACGGAGATGGGGTTTGAAGGGAATTTTTAGCCATTTCTATCTACCAGTTGACATCATTTTCTTTCTTTGGCTTCAAATAGAGAATTAGAGAGACGGAAGATAAGATATGTTTCAAAATTATTGCTTTTGGAAATATATTTCTTTAGCAATGATGGAACATGAAAGAAGATTTAATTAATTAACTACAAAGAGATGACAATAGTTTTGGCTTATGACTCCACACCTATGCTACACCTGTTTGAGTAGCATTTTTCTTAAAGAGAAGACAGACTACTGGATTATTGACTTTGCATGTGTGTGTGTGTGTGTGTGTATATATATATATATAGAGAGAGAGAGAGA